AAGTCTTAAAATATTACATCTTTGTGTTTTCTACCTCCTGGTTTAAAAAATGATTTAACAGACTATAAATATAAAATACAGTAAAAACATCAAATAAAAGTAGTAGAAAATATGAAAAAGGGGGGAAAGGGGAGAGAAAATATACTGAATATAATGAAAAAGGCTAATTAAAGTAAGGAACTCTTATTCATCAATATATACTAGGAAGAGAGTAAAAGGAAGCCAAAGAATGAAAGTAGCTATTTCCAACCTGACAAAGAGCTTATCCAAGAATATATGAAAAACTCTTACAAATCATTAAGAAAACAATTAAAGATTGGGGAAAAGACAAAAACAGGCACTTCACAAAAGAGGATATGCACATGGCTGCACACGGACAAACAAAATGATGACATGTCATTGGGAAAATGCAAACTAAAACTAGGCATTATTACACATCTATTAGAATGTCAAAAATGAAAAAGACCAGTAATACCAACTCAAACTAGAACTCTCATACACTGCAGGTGAGAGTATAAATTGGTTTATCTACTCTGGAAAACTGTGTGGTAGCATCTACAAGTTGAACATATGTTTGATATTGTGATATAATAAGAAATGTGTATTTGGTTTTTGTACTGGTTCCTAGCCACAGCTCCTAAATCTCATGTAATTTCCTAAGTGAAAAGAGCAACTTTTGTTATTATGTTTTTTTCCCCCCAAGTTCCAGAAATACGCATATTCCATAACCAAGCAACTCCACTTTTAGGTACATGTTTGATGGAGTTTGATGTGTTGTCCCCTCCAAAACTCATGTGGAAATCTGATTCCTAGAGTGGCAGTGCTGAAAGCTGTTTGGGTCATGGGGGCCCATCCCTCATGAATGGATTAATGCTCTCCCTGGGGGAGGGGGGATTAATGAGTGAGTTCTCACTCTATTAGTTCCCACGAGAGCTGGTTGTTTAATAGACCCTGGGACCTCCTCTCTCTCTCTTGCTTCTCTCTATTACTTTCCTCTTGCCATGTGATCTGCTAGCACCTGCCGGCTGCCTGCCATTTTCCGCAATGAGTAGAAGCAGCCTTAGGCCTGTGCCAGATGCAGCTGTCCCAGAATCATAAGCCAAATAAACTTCTGTTCCTCATAAATACCCAGTCTCAAGTATTTCTGTCATAGCAACACAAAACGGACTAAAACAATGTTAAGGAAGATGTAAATGCCTTAAAAGACATGTATAAAAAATGATCACAGGGATGGACATCTGTAAGATGGTGGAATAGGACTCTCCAGCACTCATCCCCTGTGCAGAAACATTGATTTGACCAACTATCCACCCACAAAAATACCTTTACAGGAGCTAATAAAACCAGGAGAGAGATTACAGCACCCGAGTTGCAGCACAGAAATAAGAAAAGACATACTGAAGAGGGTAGAAAGGACATTTTTATATCACCTGTGTTACTCCTCCCCCAACCTGAGGTATAATAAAAGGGTCAACTGAGCAAAAGGATATAACAATTAAAAAAATATATGCACCTAACATCAGAGCACCTACATAGATATAAAAAGCAAATATTAATAAATATAAACATAGATAAGACTGAAATACAGTAATAATATGGGACTTTACCACCTGCTTTCAGTAACGAATAGATCAGACAAAAATAAGAGAGAAGAAAATAAGAGAGAAGATTTGAGTAAATAAAATCAGAAGTGAAAGAGGAGATACTACAACTAATTCCACAGAAACACCAAGTATTATAAGAGACTATTATAAATAAATGTATGCCAACAAATTGGATAACCTAGAAGAAATGGAAAAATTCCTAGGCATGTATAACCTACCAAGACTTCATCATGAAGTAACAGAAAATCTAAACAGATCAGTAATGAGTAAGGATATTAAATCAGTAATAAACAGTCTCTTGTTAAAGAAAAGCCATGACATGATGGCTTCACTGCTGAATTCTACCAAACATTTTAAAAAGAACCAATATGAATCTTTCTCAAACTTCCAAAAAAACGAAAAAGAGAGAATAACTCCAAACTCATTTGACAAGGACAGCATTATCATCCTGATAGAAAAGCCAGTCAAGGACAGTATAAGAAAAAAAAAAAAAAAAAAAAAAAAAAAAAAAAAAAAAAAAAAAAAAAAAAAAAAAAAAAAAAAAAAAAAAAAAAAAAAAAAAAAAAAAAAAAAAAAAAAAAAAAAAAAAAAAAAAAAAAAAAAAAAAAAAAAAAAAAAAAAAAAAAAAAAAAAAAAAAAGTCAGGACAATATCCCTGACAAAAATAAATGCAAAAATCCTCAACAAAATATTGGCAAACTAAATTCAACAGTACATTAAAAAGATCATTCACCTCGATCAAGAGTTACATACCCCAGAAATACAAGGATGGTTCAACATAAGCAAATTTATAAATGTGATATACCACATTAACAGAATGTAGGATAAAAACCGTATTACCTCAATAGATGCAGAAAAAGCATTTGACAAAATTCAACATCCTTTCATGATTAAAAAACACTCAACAAATTAGGTACAGAGGAATATACCTCATTACAATAAAGGCTCTACATAAAAAGCACAGAGTTAACATCACAGTCAATGGTAAAAAGTTCGAAGCTTTTCCTCTAGGATCTGGAACAAGACAAGGAGGCCCATTCTTGACACTTCTATCCAATACAGTCCTAGTCAGAGCAATCAGGCAAGAAAGAGAAAAAAGAGACATCCAACAAACTGAAAGGGAAGAGGTGATATTGCCATGTTTGCATATAACATAGGCATATATAGAAAATCCTACTGACTCCACCAAAAAAATGCTAGGACTAATAAATAAATTCAGTAAAGCTTCATATATACAATCAACATATAGAAATCAGTCGTGTTTCTATACACTAACCATGAACTATTTGAAAAGGAAATCAAGAAAACAATCTCATTTAGGACAGCTACAAAAGTAATAAAACACATAGGAACAAATTTAACCAAGAAGGTGAAAGACTGTGCACTGAAAACTATAAAATTATAAAGTACAAATATAAAAACCATAACTATAAACTAAACTAAAACTATAAACTATGAAAGCATGAAAGTAAAGGTAACCCAAATTTTAAAAAATCCCAGGTTCATGGGTTTGAAGAATTAATATTGTTAAAATGTCCATACTAATCAATGTGATCTACAGATTCAATGTAATCTCTACCAAAATTCTAATGATATTTTTCACAGAAAAAGAAAAAAGAATCCTAAAATTCATATGGAAACGCAGAAGACCCTGTAGAGCCAAAGCAATCTTGAGCAAAACATATATAGCTAAAGGTATTATACTACCTGACTTCAAAATATAATACAAAGCTATAGTAACCAGAACAACACAGTACTGGCAAAAAACACAAAAAATAACTGAACAAAAGAAAACCCCCAACAGATATATAGACCAATGGAACAGAATAAGGAGCCCAGAAATAAATCCACATATTTTATGGTCAACTGATTTTTAACAAAGGTGCCAAGAATACAGAACAGGAATAGGACAGTCTCTTTAATAAATGGTGTTGGGACAACTAGATATCCACATGAAGAAGAACGAAATTAGGCCCTTATATCACACTCCACACAAAATTCAACTCAATTGGATTAAAGACCAAAATGCAAGACCTAAAACTGTGAAACTGTTTGATGAATACACAGGGAAAAAGTTCCCAGAAATTAGTCTGGGTAATGATTTTTCTGGGTACAACCCCAACAATAGCATAAAAAGACAAATGGAATTATATCAAACTAAAAAGCTTCTACATAGCAAAGGAAACAATCAACAGAGTGAAGAGACAACCTATGGAATAGAATAAGAGGAAATATTTGCAAACCATACATCTGCTAATGGCTAATATCAATAGCATAAAAGGAACTCAAACAACTCAATAGTAAGAAAACAAATAATCTAATTAAAAAGTGAGCAAAGAACCTTAACAGACATTTCTCAAAAGAAGACATACAAATGGCAACAAAGGTATGAAAAAATAGTAAACATTACTAATCATCAGGGAAATGCAAATTAAAACCACAATGAGATATTACTTCACAACTGTCAGAATGGCTATTATTAAAAAGATTAAAGATAACAAATGTTTGAGAAGATATGAAGAAAAGTGAACCCTTGCACATTGTTGATAGAAATGTAAATTAGTGCAGCCATTATGGAAAACAGTTTAGAGGTTCTTAAGAAAATTAAAAATAGAAGTACCAAATGATCCATTAATCCTACTACTAAGTATACATCCAGGGCAAATGAAATAAGTACACTGGAGGGGTATCTGTAGTCTATGTTCACTGTAGTAATATTCACAATAGCCAAGATATGGAATCAAACTAAATGTCCATCAACAGATATTTTATCAATGGATAAAGAAAATGTGGTATACACACATACTCACACACAATGGAATACTCTCCAGCCATAAAATGGAAGGAAATTCTGTCATTTGTCATAACATGAATGAACCTGGATGACATTACGTTAAGTAAAATAAGCCAGGCACAGAAAGACAAATACCATATGATCTCACCTATATGTGGAATCTAAAAAAGTTGAACTCATAGAAGTCATAGAAGTAGAAAGTAGAAAATGGTGGTTACAACGTGCTAGGGCATGGTGGTAGGGTTGGGGAGATGTTTGTCAAAAAATACAAAATTTCAGTTACATAGGAGGAGCAATAAAGGCTCCTACTTCTAACCAGTAAGATTAATAGACTAATTGTTATATAAGACACGAAATGCCATATTAAGTTCAACACACTTTGAAGGACCTTGGAGCTGTGACATTACCGTAAAACAAAATGCATACATTAATGTAAAGATATTTTTTGGTGGGAATATTGGGGCTCAGTGAGAAAAAAATCATTATATACTAATAGCAACTGGCTTCTTGACAAGTTTTTTCAAGAGAAAAAGTGACAAGAAAAAATAGACATTATAAATAACGAAGTTTTCATAAGACAAATACAATTCATTGCAAATATACCTTTTTGCAAATTTTTTCAAAGTTGATATCATCCCCAAGAGCAGATTTAGTTACTATATCAGGTTTCAATTCCTGTAAAAGAATAAAACAAATTTTAGTTATGAGTCTAATTTTAAATTGTCATTATTATTATTATTATGAGTTAATTCCTTCCCATTCTTGCTTTAAGAAACTTGATATTCAGTAAAATCTTAACTCTTAGAAAGAGTAAGTCTTACCACAGTAAGAAATTATCACATACTAAAAACCCACAGCAAAATGACTTTAAAAAATAATCTTCTTATAAGAACAACATACAAACCAAGTACAAAACAGTATTATTAGGAACTCAATACAAGCAACAATAACTAGAGGATTTTATATCTAGTCAAGCAGCTCTTCAAATATCAAATCTTTACATATAAAAGAAATTTGAATCTGCAAGAATGCAGGGAATATTGTACACATGTGCCTCTCCAGAGGAATCTTCTAGAGGAAGAGCTTCAGGCAGTAAGACAGGACGTTGAGAAAAGAACTGAGAGTATATATTTGTAGATCTAGGACTAAAATAAGTGTGGGGTATAGGAGAAAGTATAGTACGTAAACTTTACATGTTTTGATGAAGTAGGAAAAAACTGCAATTGAAAAAATACAGGAAGCGGGGAAAGTAGAATAAGATCATTATTGTCTGTGTTAGGCAAACAGGAGAGGTCAAAGGACACCACTTAAAATGGACAGACTAGAAAATAAAAGATTACATAAGAAAATGGGAAAGTAAGGGTACTCTAAGAGACATAAATAAAATAACCATGGAACAAAAATACAAACCTTTCTAAATAACAATAATTTTTTTTTAAATACCACGAAGAAGACACATCAAGTGGAGAAATAAACAGTAAATACAACATAGAACATGTGGTAATTAGAATATAAAAATATAACAAAATTGACAAAGCAAACATCATGTGTCTATTACAAGAAAAATTTTCAAATTGGATTACAAAACAAAGCCTAACTCTGTGCTGCATATAATACAGACACTCAAAGACTGAAGTTTTTTTTTTTTTTTTAAAAAGGCTAAGAATAAAGGAATGAGCAAAGATATACCAGGCAAATAGGAATAATCAGAAGGCAGGTGTTGAGATCGTGTGTCAGACAAAGAATTCAGGCAAACAAAAAATTAAAATAGACAAAGAAGGTAACATGTATGACTACCTATGTATCAAAACTTATATAAAGCAGAAATTACAGGAAATAAAGGAGAAATAGAAACATTACCAAGAGGAGACTCTGACACACCACTGCTAGTTCAAGAAAGTTTGAAATATGGAGGAAAAAGAAAAGATCCTAACAAAATATTTAATAATACAGAAGTGTGTTATGAATTTATTTAAAATATTACATTCTAATAATCCAAATTGCATCATCTTCTTAAGTACACATATCTTTTCCAACCACAATAGAATAAAACTAGAAATCAGTAACAGAAGGAACACTGGAAACTGTACAAAAACATGGAAATTAAATAACATGCTCCTAAACAATAAATGCGTAAAAAAGAAATTAAAAAGAAATTCCTGGAGACAAGTGAAAATGAAAATACAACATACCAGAACTTATGGGATACAGCAAAAGCAGTTCTAAAAGGGAAGCTTATACAAATTATACCAATAAACGCCTACATCAAAGATGAAGAAAGACTTCAAATCAACAACCTAATGTTACAACCTCAAGAAACAAGAAAACAAAACAAACCCAATCAAAAACTACTAGTAGAAATATAACAAAGAACAGAACAGAAATAAATGAATTAGAGATTTAAAAAGAAACACAAAAGATCAATGAAACAAAGAGTTGGTTTGTTGAAAAGATAAATAAAATAGGTAAATCCTTAGCTAGAGTAACTAAGGACAAAAGAGAGAGGACTCAAATAAATAAAATCAGAAATGAAAAAGAAGACATTACAACTGATGTCACAGAAATACAAAGGATCATAAGGGACTATTACGAACTATATGTCAAAAAAACCTGAAAAATCTAGAAAAAATGGATAAATTCCTGGACACATACAACGTACACTTCTATCAAATGAAACTTCAATAAAGTTATATTCCATCATCATATTGCCAAGGGATTTTTCCAAATAAATTATTACTGTCTTCCTTCTGCACCTATTCCTGTATTTTCTATTGTAATCAATGGCATCCTCATCCTGTTAGACAGCTCACAGTCATCTGACACTCTGTGAACATCTTTATTATGCTTCCTTTCTGCTTTCTCTTCTGTACTGTCCGTTGAATTTGTTCCCTCCTTTGGATTACCATTATTCTTCCTCTAGATTCAAGACTTCATTATGAATTGTGTGAATTATAACAGCCTAAGTGGTTTTCCTGCCTCCAGAATCACTAACTCCAATGCCCATTACGTCAGTGTGCTGAATAACAGAATGAAGTAAAAGACCTTTAGTCTGACATTCAAATCCTTTCATTACCTGGTCTCAATGTTATCTTTCTGCTCTAATATTATAATATACTTCTTCTAGGAGTACTATACTCCATCCATTCACTTTTATGTAGAACCTCCAGAATAACTTTCCTATTCTTCACCTCAACATCTTTGGCAAACTGTTTGCTTTTTTATTTGTCTTTAGAATGCCTTCCTCTGGGCCGAGCCCGTGGCGCAGCGGCGCTCCCGCCGCGGGTTTGGATCCTATATGGGGATGGCCGGTCACCGCTCACTGGCTGAGCGCGGTGCGGCCAGTCTCGAAAAAAGACAAAAAAAAAAATAAAAATAAAAAAATAAAAAGAATGCCTTCCTCTAACTGGCCATCTATCCTTCTTACTCTATCCATATTTCAAATCCAATCAAAATCTATCCATATTTCAAGTACTGGTTTCTAAACATCACCCAAAGGAAGCAGAGCTTTTTAAGGGAACAGCTGATTACAGATACAAGGCAGGAAAAGTAAAAGCCCTGCAATAATTTCTTATGCCAGAAAAGGAAGGATTGATAGGGTTCAAAATGGGGTCTCAAAAAAGTCACAAAAAAAGCTGGCTTAAAGGAGATACCACTGGCCAAATTTGAGTGTCAAAAAGAATAATGACAGCAATGAATCATAACCATGTTGACCATATAATCTATTGCTCAAACCAGGACCCATAAGAGAATGAAATGTAGCACTATTAATTAATATGATGTGACATATGATAATTACTGGGACAGTCCCAGGGAAATTTTGTCATATGGTCATCCTAATTATAACATTTGTCAATACTTGTTATCTCCAAATGCTCTCTATTTTCTCTTAAACCCACTTCATTGGCTTTTGTCCCAATTACTCCAATCCCATTCTTGCAAATCAACAACAATGTCCACATTGCTAAATAATGAACAGGTGTCAGTAATCCTCTTACTCAACATATCAGCAGCATCTAACTCTTTCCCTTCATGGCCTATCCTCAACTTTTGACCAGCTAATTCCTCCTTCCTCCTTACTTTGTTTGGCTTACAGGACCCATATTCTTTGTTATTTGTTCTTAGTCTTCTTTGTTAGTTTTTTCTCTTCTCTAACTTAAGAAGGCTCTGCCCTTATTACTCTCCTCTTCACTATTATCTAATACCACCTTAGTGATTTCATCCAGTCTCATGACTTTAAATATCATGTATATGTGAACACCTCAAAATCCCTATCTCTAGCCCAGATCTCTGAAGTCCAGACTTACATATCCAACAATCTACTTCACATCATCACTCCTAAACCTTCCTATTCTGTTCTATTTTTTCCATAGCATATCATCTAGTAACATGTTATGTAATTAACTTATGTTGTCTACTCTAATCCCACACAAAAAAAATAAATTACAAAATATCAAAAATCTTTTTTCTCCCTCAGGTATATCTTAAGTGCCTAGAAAAGTACATGGCATTTGGTAAGTGTTCAATAAATGCCTGTTGAAAGAATGGATATTGAAGTTATTTTAAATTGTAAGGTATTATAAATTGTTCCACTGACTATCTTAATTATCTCAGTATAAGTAGAGCATAAACCAGACCTGACAGTAAACACTGCTCCTGTGTAGGAACTTCGGTAGAGTACATTCAATATTCAATAACTATGTCTTCCATCCATCAATATTTTTTGATTATCTAAATTTTAAAAAATAACACCAGTTAATCTTTACTCTTGTCCATGTTGAGAACTGAATCTAAGTATCATTATCAGATCTAACACAGATTTCATGTAGGGAAACTAATAAAATAATCTAAAAACTTCATATTTCTTGATTCTATAGATACCTTCTACGAGTTAAAAAAAAACCCTAAAGGGCCGGCCCCGTGGCTCACTCGGAGGAGTGCTGCGCTGGTAGCGCCGAGGCCGTGGGTTTGGATCCTATATAGGGATGGCCAGTGCACTCACTGGCTGAGCATGGTGCAGACAACACTGTGCCAAGGGTTGCGATCCCCTTACCATCAACAAAACAAAAAAACCCCCTAAAAACTGGAAACCAAAAAAACAAAACAATAAAGAAATATAAGTTAAAGTTTCCCACCCTTCAACTTGCAAAGTTCCACTTACTTTTAAAGACTCAGATTCCTGCTACAGGAAGCACGAATCCTCAAGCAATTGCTAAGTGCCATTCCTCCAATGTATCTATCAGTGTTCTTTTCACACACCAAACTAAAGCTCTCTCTTCATGTGTCCATCTCTCTCACTAGACTATAAGCTTTACCAACAGTAGGCACTATATTAAGTCCTATATTTCTATAAACTCACAGAGTATGTGGCACAGAAAGTACAGACCTAACATTTTTGTTGGTCCAAAATAAAGTGCTTTGGTCATGAGGATGGCTCTGAGGCAAAGCACAAGACAAAATAATATTAGGTAAAAGCACAAGACTAGATAAGATCAGGTAAAAGCTCAAACTTTTCTGGTAAAGCACAAGACTGAATAACATCATAGTACTAATTAAAATAATAACTATTTCAGCTTCTGGTCTAAAGTCACAATGCAACCTGTACAATGATGATGAACTGTGTGGTAGCGTAGATCTCCAAAAGATCTCTGTTCTGGATTTCTCTGTCACTGAATGTG